TATTATTATTTAAGGCAAATCGTGATATCCAGGAAAATTAAGAAAGCGGTAAAATAAAAAAAAAAAATGCAAAATCAATTGAATAGAAATGTCTCGGTCCACCGAGCCAAGTTTTGCCAATCGCCAAAATTTTTTCAAAATATCTGAAAATGCCTCAAAAAATATGCCCCAAAAAAGAGATGATACCTCTTCACCGGTGCACCACTGACCAGCGTTTCATGGTACTCGATATCCGAGAAATAATGCAACTCATTGCCGGTCTGCACAAATGCTGTGGCCATGAACGGCAGATCGACACCGCCAAAATCGATGGCCGTATCGGAGGTGATGGCTGTGGCCCAGCATTGGCGTACATTACAACCGAACTGCAGCACCAACGCTATCAACAAACATCTCTGAATGATTACGCTACCGCCTCCGTCGCCCATCACACATGATAATCTGCAAGAAAAAAGCAATCATGTGATATCAAAATGAGCAAAATTTTTGAAAAATCGCTATAATGTAATCATAAAACACGAGATCCAGTTGTGGTACTGATCTGGAATGTATGCAACTTTTAATGGATCGAAACATTTCAATTCAGGACCCCTTTACTCCTATTTCTTATTGCATTTATTATTTATCACTATAATTATTATCACTATTATTTATCTGCATTTAATATTTATCAAGATTATTTATCACTATAATTTATTAGACTAGTCACCATATCCAGGCTACTTATCATAAATTATCATAGTACAATATCATGGAAAAAATAATCAGGGTTTAGTGTTGATACACATCAGTCATATATCAGTATAAGTGGACTGGTATATAAGCACAGGCGGTGGCATGAGTCGAACTTTTCATTTTTTCATCATCTCCGGATTCTTCAAATCTTGATCCATTAATCATCACACGACTGATTTCGATTCAATCCTTTGTAAAAAGCGATTCCTTTCACAACAAGGCCAGCTCCTCTTCACATTGTTCAAACTAATAGATGCGAAAAATAAGCCGGTGACATTGATGTACCAATCAAATCTGACCGTTCGGAAAGTATAAAAGACATAAGGAATTAAAAGATGTGAAAAAAACCATAGTGCAAATGCACCAGGAGTGCCACGCAAAAATTTCAGCTTTCTAGCTTTTACACTTCACGAGACAATAATTCCCCTACCAAAACCTTCACGAGGCCGTACGTGGTACCCGGGGATGCGTGAAGGCTGGAACCAAATTTGCGTGGGGGTTGTATGCTGATAAACATACACACACACACACACACACACACACCAGTGCATAGTCCATATAAAGTTAGCGAAGACGAAGTTATATATTTATTGAAATAAAACAGGAGTAAGCAGTGTATGTTTCATCCCTTAACTGTAAACCCAAAGTTCTAAAAAAGAATATGCACAAATGAATTGATTTCTTCCTAACTCCTTATTTATATTTGTATTACTATATTTATATTACTATTTCTGCATGTACGTTTTTTTTTTCACTTTTATTCAGTTTCGTTTAATTACAGCTATTTGCCAAACAGGAAACAGTAAGTGCTCTGTTTTCCTCTGGAAGCAGTGTTGGTCCTTTACTGTTTTAAAATTATCGACGATGTACACAAAGCAGCTAGTTTTTGCGCCAAATAAAGATAAATATAGTACAATAATTTTTTTAATCGCCTGGCTGCTCTAATCCAGAAGAATCACGATCCCTTAGTGTTTTTTCTAAAGTTACGAGATCAGCCTGAATTGCATAAGAGATCATAAATCAATACAATCAGTGAAGAATTACCTGAAGATCTTATATCCAAATCTGATCTTATATCCAGATCCAGGCAGATTTGGACAAAGTCAGATTTGGATATGAGATCAAATCTGGATATAAGGTCTTCAGGTAACCCCTCGTTTTTGGGTTCAAATTTAAGTTCTTATTTTTTCAGAATTCCGGCGATTACCCAAAATTTTGAATCTTCAAATCATCCAACAGGAAAAAACCCTAGAGGTCTGAAGCTTCTCAGCGGATTCGAGTTGAATTATGCGGGCAGACTTGCACAAAGAGATATGATATCCGTATAATAAACTTATAAATCATGCAAAAGCGATTTCAAAAGTCCAACCAAAGAGATTAATAGCAACAGCAGCAGCAACAGAACATGATACAATACATTATACAGGTGTGTTCACACAACGGCACATGGTTTTGATAGAACAGTAAGCAGAAATTTGCATAGCTGCGGAATCAAAAACGGGCCTGCTGGGACAACTGCACCCGGAATATTGTTAGACCTTCCACAGTAACAACACTAACATGGGATACCCACATTGATTTTTCGAAATGTTTTAGCTCTTGGTATAAATACCGATTTTTTTTTTCGACTTTTTTTATTCGGTTTTTCTGCATCTATGCAATGCAAAAACTCATATTGTCGAATGGAATTTTTTGGAATTTTGGTAACTTGCACTACCACTATGAATGGATTCTCAGGCGTAAAATGAACAATGGGAGGCTTCCAGTTGGCATGTACGAGCATTTTGTCGGGAGAACGATTTCGAGAACCAGAAAAGCTAGAAGGCTGAAATTTTATGGGGATAAAATTTGCTTGCTTGTTTGCGACCCAAAGAATTTAAATCCAGCTTTCTCACATCATAGGTTTATAAACTTTAAAAAATTCTATTTTTTAAACAGAACTTTGGAAAAAACTGAAAAAAAATATTTTTTAATCTGTTTTTTTTTGGTTTCAAAAGTTAGAAATTTCCCTGAACCATTCCAGAATTCTTCGATGCTATCGTTACAGCTTGCCGTCAATGAGGGAACACAAGGAGTAATAGTTAATCAGGGAAACCCTAAACAGCCCCATCGATTAATATGCAAATAAAAAGGGGGCCCGTTTTTCTGACATCGTTTTCGAGTGGTCTTGATATTCTGGGTGATCGAATTCGATCGAATTTTCGATTTTTCTGGTTTTTTTTTTTTGATTTTTGACCCAAGTCTTGGAGATTTCTGGGTATCTAAAATCAGCTGTTTGTGACC